ATGGAACCAATATTCCGAGCCTCAATTTCGTGCTCTCGCTGTGCTTATACCGTCTGTGAGAAGACTTCAAGTAGTCTACAGTTTCAAAGGCATAATGACTTAAACAATGCCGGTACTGGATTGCCTTATAAGTCTGTTTAAGGGGTTACAGATGAGGGTTTTTCTTTCTTTAGTCCATCAGCCTTTCGCTGAAATATACATGTGAGGATCTAATATTAAAGATCTGCCTGCTTTTACTTAAAGTTGCTTCTTACACTTAAAAAGGCATTTTCTTAGTAACATGAGAACTTTCTTGATGGGTACCCTTTGAAAGTTTCAAAAGGGAAACATTGCCGTTGTCCTCAACCTGAATATGAAAAGCTGTAGTCAAAATATATTAGTTATTTATACTAAATTAACTCAGATGACTATTCGTGGGTTGCTGAAAATATATGCGTTAAACCGAATTCAACTTAATGCGGTAATAATCCTTTCCCGGTCTGTCAGACTTTGATGCAAAATAGGTTAGACTGCCCGTCAAAGTCATATTTTTTCTTCATATTATAATCATATTCATTATCCTGAAAATGATATACCGACTAACTCTAGCTTTAATTTTTTTTTTGAATTTGAAGAGATAATCGAAGTTACCGTAGCACGCGAATTATTGTTACATGAGCGAGATATTTTGAACTGATTTCTTGACGTTTATATAGGATTTATTAGTGGTTAGCGAGCATTTGAAACATAAATAGACAGATGCAGGGATGAATTCGCCGTTCTAACTTGAGCCAAAATTTGAAGTCGCATCGATGTCTCAGCGATTTAAGGTTCCAATAAGAGGAAAAATAGACGTTTTTGTTTTATGAAAGTGAGTTTCCGAGAAATAATCCTTAATTCCAATGTTTTTGTTGCAGTGTCGTGGGAATTTTCTAAGGGGAACTGCGTGGGTATTTTGTTGAATAGCTACCAGATAATAAATTCTTAAAAAAGCAAACAAAAACAATTTTGTCTTGGCTGTATTGTTTTCTGAACGGGAGTTACAAAGGATGCGTAAAAGTTATGCGTTGATGGCTCTAAAATAAAATAACCAGAGGTTTCGTTCAGACAGGTGTCTTAACAAACAATGAGACTTTAAAACTGTGAGCCAAACTAAAACTGCTAATGGCTTATGTCAATGCCACGGATATCGTAATACATAATAGACGTATTTTAGGGAAGTGGAGTTTTTAGACGAAGAAATTGCCACGAATCTGGATCACTCTCTTGTTGTGTATGTATGCTATCAGTAAAAATGTAGGTTAATATTGAACCTGACTAAGTACTCTAAGTGATGTCTTAGTTTCCAAGTAGGACCTTTGGATGGCCGAGGCAATGAATTTAGTTAATTTCTGTCGAATCTTCCGGCTTAAATATACGATATACCACAGTGAACACGGTAAGTTTGTTAAAATACCATACGGTTTAAGTACCTGGCGGAAATCCGATGTTGCGGTTAATAAAATCGTGCAAGCCGATTAGAAAGACAAATGAAAAAACCGCAATGAACTGTTTGCCTAGCGAGCCTTCTCGGTTTGTGGTTATTAACGGTTTTTGAAACGGATGTACTATAAGCTGTTAAGATGTAACAGTTGTCACTGTTGCCAAAGTTCATTGCAAATTTAAAACTCGCAGCACGCCCGTCCGGGGCAAAATTAAAATATGGATACGTTTAACGCGTTGAGTTTTTCTAGATGATGTACGGGATTTTTCAAAGAAATAAGCAAACACAGTAAACTATTCGGTGGTAAAAATGAACTGAATTATACTAAAACAAAAGTATTTTTGATTCGATGCTCGAAGCTATACATATCTTTTACAAAATATTTACACACGCAGTACCTGTAGTAGTTAAGAATTTGTCGGAACATCTGGGGATCTCTGTCGAACACGTACGTCTTGCTAACAGAGTCATAGAACAACTCTTTCTCTGGACTTCCTAGAAGAGTCTCAGGATGGTTTTCGAGATTATCCGCCCATGTTTCAAATAACCTGCCACCGACTTTTAACAATATCCGCTTACGAGGTTGTTGCAGAGATTCGCTGTTTAAGGACCAAATCGATCTCTCCTCACTTTTTTTCTTCGTAATCATTTCAGCACAGAGGGAAGCTTGCACCAGAGTTGTAATTCACCGGTAGCCTAAAGAAAGGACGGATATCTTTAGTGAAAGCTGCTATTGAAATGACCAATTAAACGTCACGTTACTTCTGTGGGGCACCCCGTTCAGCGCGTCTCCTTTGCTGTTATTTGCATAAACGACAAGTTTTCCTGCATTAGCCACACTCACCGTTAATTTTAAGCTGGAACGCCGCAGTTTAGAATAGACATAAATAATTAAAATTAGGGCACTACGGCAGCTAAATTTGCTCAGTGCTCCGAAGAAAGGAACTTTTAAATCGATTTTAAACGTCGTCGGAAAAAAATATTAGCGTTGTTTGACTCAACTTCGGGCCAACAACCCGAAGTTTTTTAAGCATGTTTAAAAGCTTTCTAGTCAACTTCCAGCTTCAAATTATTTGGTGATTACATATCTTCACAGGGTGCTATCGCACGCAAAGAAAAACTATTCGCCTTCGGAAGCCAGAAATTTACAAACTATGGAAATATGACAAGGTTCTATTTTGAAGCAATTAGAACCTAATAAAAACAAAAATATTATAATCGGTAATTGCCAGCAAATCATTTCGCATTTGGAACATATAGTTTTTAAACAAACGTATTTTATTTTAATCTTTTTTCCTTATAAGGGTCTTAATCTACCGGTTGTGCTCTACGGCTGAAATTAATTCGGGACATTTTCTCATGACTTGACAAGTTTTATGAGTCCAAACAATTATTTATGCGGAATTTAAGATCAATTGAGTAGCCTGAGTTTGTATTTTTGCGTTAGCTAAGAAATTAAGGAACAAATTAGCAAGCCTCAGTAGGTTAAAAGGTAGTTTACCTCTACAGCTTATAAATCAACCGCGTACAACGTTTTCTGAAACCGGCTAAAAGAATGCCATCGCCAGGAACAACTTACGAGCAACCTTATCTAATTTAACCGACAAAATTTGTCTTATAGTAGGAAAATATTTTCATGTGTAATATTTTGCAAGGTATGAAATTTTAGTCTTCTTACTTTCACGTTACCATCATTTCACGATATTACTGGTATCAGCTTTTATCTTGTCTTAAATTTTGAATTTAAACAATGGCTTATTTTGATACCTGCACGTTTGTTTCGTACACCTGTCAAATAGACTTTCTTGTCGTTCAGAAACGTGACTCGTTTTATATAGGCCATGTTGGGGTACTTCAGTTTTGTTCTCTATGTTTTTAAAGGTTGAAAAATGACTAAGTCATATTAGCAAGTTACAGAATAACCGGTGACGAAAGCAAAAGGTAGCGGCCCGTCATTTTATATGAAAAATGCATATTCAGATTCGCATCCAGACTCCCCACTACTCCTACCACAAAGCTGATCTATTTTTGCGTTTTTTTTTAAAGTTATTATTGCAGCTCTTACAAGTAGGTGTTGGGCTTGCACATAGAACATATTGTGGGGAATTTTTCAACAAATGATAAACTAAAAAAGATCATGAAAGAAATTTTGTTAATTTGTTTTGAATTCTTGATAATAATAATGATAACTCGAACATTTCTACAGGATAACCTATCACTCGCGTGAGTTCGATTAAAAATAACTGTTATCAAAAGGGTCCTGTAACTAAATAATACATAACTAAAAAACACTAAGAAATCTAAGATTCAAAAATCAAAATTTGTAAAAATTATTGACTTATAAGTTAAAAGAGCCGGTACTAAAGTTTCTATGAACTGAACACACTAGGCAAAAATTTTTCCTCTTTTTTTCTGTCGATTCCCGTATGGTAGTTTATTTTTGTTTAATTTACTCCATGTTAAGAAATGTTAAAACGTTGCTGCGTTACAACTGTAATTAATTCTTAAGATTTTATGAAGATTAACCGTTGCAGTTTTGTAGTTTGATCGACCGAGAAAGGACCTCAGCTTAGTTAATTGTTACAATTTTACTCACTTGACGTTACACAACATGATTAAACTTTGGTCATTATCAAAATCTGGCTGGCCTCTTTTGCCATCAATAATCAATAATCTTTATTATGCTTTTGTCGATGTACATGGTTAGTATTACACTCTGTACATCGCCAAAAGCATAACAAAGATTATTGATTATTGATAGCAAAAGGTGCCATCTCGTTACCTTCTTCAACTTCACTGAATTCAACGTACCAAGCTGATTTTCAAATACTTTCTAGACTTCCACTATTATTTCAACATCAAAATGACGTGATATAGAGCACAAATGGTGATGGCAAATATTACAAAACTAAATTAGCTAACAAATTTTACATGCAATATAAATAGATTTTTATTACCTTTTTGGTAAAAACAAAGGTTGGTCACGGTTCACCGCGTAGCGTTTATGATTTTTAGTTGGATCTGGCATCTAGCTGTTTTAAACTGTTATAATAATAATAATAATAATAATAATAATAACAATGATAATAATTACTATTATTATATTGAAGATTTGTCTATTGATAGATGTTTCACTGACCAAATGCCTTCCTTTCCTACCATATGGCGTGCGTTAAAACGCTGAAATTTTGACTGATTGTACGTGTTTACAAAATACAAAACCAATATCTAGCTTCCCTCTCCGGCTTACTGGATATTAACTGTAAATGTTTTAAATGAATACCCGTCCTTAAACATTAACATAACCCGAACGTAAACATATGTAACATGTATGTAAACATATGAAGGTGATACCAAAAATATTGTTTTACTTCAGTTGGCTATACTTGCACGCACAATTATCTGGGACATCTTAGTTATATTAAAGTAAGCTTATAACAGCAGGATGTAACAGATACTGTGAACCGTGAGATATCAACAGAAGCTTTTCGGAATCAAGTTGTATCCTACTTACAAGGCAATTTGGTTTCCATTACGCTAAATACAAGACTACAGATGAAAGTGTGAAACAGAAAGACACAACCCAATAGCGTTATTAGGATTTTTAAGCCAAAAAGTTGTATACCTGATTATAAATCTAAAAGCCAAAAAGTTGTATACCTGATTATAAATCTAAAAGCCAAAAAGTTGTATACCTGATTATAAATCTAAAAGCCAAAAAGTTGTATACCTGATTATAAGTCTAAAAATGATAGTTAATATTCTGAAGGTAGATTTAAGTTACCTACGCCGGCAGGACCTCTTGAATAACATAAACCCCATAGCGTGGGAATCCCTCATTTTTTTTTGTAATGTTTGTTGTTGCTACAAATACTGGTGACATTTATCATGTGCTGTTAATATTTTCTCATTTATTTCTCATTTGTCATGTGCTGTTAATAGTTTCCGTTATGTTATAACTTAAGGGCAATCTGACTTCACGACCACTATCACCAATAAATGCAGAGAGATATGCAACCCTTGATAATTAAAATGACGTTGTATGAGCCGTAATGAGTAACGAGTAACTTATTGGCGTGTATCCTGGAGTGCATTAGTGTGAGAGATAAACATGACGAAGCCGTCAAGGAAATGTGTTCTACTGGCATAAGCTTTGGAAGATTAAATTTACTCCATTCATGTAGCAACTGCACGCTATTGTTTAGCAGGCAGAGATAGTCAGGAGGTTTTGTATACTGGATTTGTCCAAACACCGAGCGGCGATTCAAAGCGATTGCGATTTTTGTCAGACATCTGCAATGCCGATATTCATAAGACCACTTTTAGATTTTCCGCAAAAACATATACCGTCTTGAATGAACTTTTAAATAATTTGCAAAGAGAGAGCTGAAGTGTTGGTAAAAACTATCTGTTTGAGCTTGTTGACAGTAGTTTATAATTCTCCTTTCATTATTCGCTTCTCAGACCGGCTGGCGACTGTTCTGTTCTTTGTGACCATTGTGCTTGATGAAGTAAGACCTAAGGTCATGTGTATTCACACGAAAATGATCATTGTTTGTCGTAGACTGCAAGCAGTAAAAAAAAGAGAGAGAGACTGCTCGTAGTCTATGTTTGTCATGTTTGCTGCGGCAGCAAGGACAGAAAAAATGTTTTATTTCGCTCGATTATGGTATCACTTGAAAAAAGCGTCTCAACTGTACAATTTCCGGTAAACAGAGTAATTAAGTTCGGACCATGCTGAGAAGCACCCAACTTGTGATTGGTCACGTATTGACAGTTGACGTTATCGGAATTAGTTGAAAATGGTTTGCGAAATACAAAAACACCAGCTGTTATTAGCAGGCGCTCCCTTCCCTTTTCCCCGCTTTCGCGCTTTTCTCCCTCTACCCTCCCCCTCCCCCTCCCCTTTTTGCACCTGCCACGCAGGCTACCCGTCAGAACAAAAGACCACTCTCCGCCCCACTAATATTATAAGTTTGTCACGTCGAAAATATAGCCTATTGTTTTGACGAATTTGATCTGGGGTCACAATAGCCCATTTCTTGATACGCTTTATGGGTGATTTGTAGTTGCCTTATGTGAATCAAAGATATCTTCAAACTTGTAATCATTTTCCAGTAATCAAGATCCGGTTCAGAGCAGGGGCCCGTTTCTCGAAAGTCCCGGTAACTTTACGGGCCCGAAATCAAATATTCAAATCGAAATATAAAGAATAAGAGCGCGGGTCCTGGCTAGCAAACTACTCCATTTAGTTTCATTAACTGACAGTTTGATCATGTTAGATGCAAAACTATTGAAACCTCGATCTTTACTGTAAACGGAGACAGCTTACCGGGCCCGTTAATTATCGGAACTTTCGAGAAACGGGCCCCTGGCCCGCAGTGCAGGCGTATTATGGGCTGGCGAAAATTGCTTGTTTATGTTCGTATTGTTGTTACCGCCATCTTTGATTTTATGACAGCGGAAGATTGTGAAGAGTAGAAATAGTAACCCTTAGGGTAGGTGCTACGGTGAAAGAAGGAAAGGGGCAGGGAGAGGGGAGAAAAAAATGCGGCATTTTCTCTCGTATCTCCCCGCCCCCTCCTCCGCTAACTTCGACTCGCCCCATTTTCTCCTCTCTTTTGGAGTTTCAACAAGGTGCTTTCGCGAGCAAAAACATTCGTTGGCCCGAAGTTTTCCCGTGCGCTTCCTTGGACAATTGGACAATTGACTGGTAAAATCCTTCTTATTTATCAGTGATGACAGCGTATTCCAGGCCGCCAGCGCTTGTACACGACATGCTTCGAATGGCGTGGTAAGTTTGTCTGCCTGATCGATTTCTATAATACACGGTAAAATGTAATAAAATATGCAACTTACGTTACTAGAACTGCACCTAATACGGGTTTAAACACCATGTCAAATCAACAATAACAATAATTCTTGCAGAAACTCTTTAGCTTACAAACTCGAAAAACCTATTAGTAATGTAAATTCGTTTTCTGATAAATGTATTAGTAGTATCCAAGAAAGAATTTCAAAGACTTTAGTTTTAGTTTTTGTATTAAGGTTTCTAGAAATTTAAAACTACAAATCAAAAAATAATTACAACAAATGAAAAGATGTAATATACAAAGTACTAGTTATTGTGCTCGCATTTATCTGCTGGTTGATAAAGAACTGAATTGTCTAATAAATAATTAACGTGAAAGTCAGTGGCATTATTGACACCCTTTCTGGTTGCGATGCAGCAAAATGTCTGTGTAAGCCATGCAACATCTAAATATATGCTGTGGTGACTCAAAGCCCTTACTGCTAGTATCGAAAATCTTTCCTTTCTCAATTACCCAACGATTCAAAAAAGAAAACTTTTGAACTTTTAACCGAGTTTACGAACGTAACAGTACTAAGTACTGAAAAAAATAATTTCTATTCAAAAATTATCTGTATCCTCCATTTGAAGATTATAAAAATTTACCATCCGAGCTATAACCTGCGAACAGAAGAATCCTACCTTCTATAGCTTCAGCTGTACAGATCCTCTGAATAAGTTGCTATTTTTCCCCTTTAGTGTAGGTCGTGTTAGTGTTCTCGGAATATACATGAACCTGTTAAACAGCAAACGCGCGCGCTTATTTTTATCCTGGAAAGGCTTATTTGGCACAGCTTAATATACAAATACTAACGTGCCATTATGTTGTCATACGAAAGCTGGCCATCTGGCAGCATAGTTTTGTGTTTTTCAGGAGCATTTGTAATTATTTACCTAGCGATTACAATGAAGACTAGTCGCATGAAAACCAGGTCAGGTTAAATATAAGCACTAAAATATTAATAATTAAAATAAAGATGATGTTAATAACAATGGTAACAAATGAGGAGAATTCACGTGCCTATAACAATACGCAATTTTTTTAACTTTCACACGATATATTGGATAAAAATTATATTTTTCTAAAAATTTATTCCATTCACGGACTCTTTTCTAATCAATTTCAAATATCGTCGGGATATTATTGCCATACAGTAGATGTATGGAAAACAGTAATTTGTACCTATTCTTATATAACACCCGTTCTGAATCATTAAGGTGACTGAACACGGTGTGATAAGTTGTGGATCGTTACAATTCATTGGGATATTACTCGTTGCAGGTATACATATGAAGCTTAATTTTGGCATATTTATAAAACATATCATTCATTAGGTTAAACATGAGCTGATTTTGATCATTGCCATGACAAAATGCATGGAGATTGAAAAGAAGCTTAGAATTTTGAATTTATTAGGTTTACACAAATCCACAGCTTAAAATAAAACTAGTAACCGGCCTCATGGCCAAAAAACTGCTTAACCAAATTGTAACAACTGCACAGATTTTGGAATTTTTAAGATAATAGCTTTCATGAGAAACTCGATTGTGACACAAAGCCCTTTGCTCAACTTTTATTTTGAAGCTTCGCATGCGATATGAACGTGATTTCCGCACAATGAAGCGACTGCTCTGTTGTAATTTGTAATATTTTTGTTAGTATAGGTAATAGCATGATTAGTAGTGGTATTGGCATAAATGCCACGAGTGATACCTCAAAATTGTTATACGTAATTTCACGAACCGGTAGGCGAGTGAATTTTGAGACAATTTTGAAATATCACAAGTGGTATTTCTGCCAAATATCACGTACAAATTATGCTATTATTTGTTTATACTACTACCCGCAAAAGGTTTGTAATTTTCACATGTAGGTATTTCAAATTAAGCTGAAATACCACTGCTCTAAGCCAATCAAATTGCAGAAATTTCTCATGCAGTGGTATAATAGTGTGTAATACATACCTATCGCAACTTGAAATAAAAAGGTCGTAATTGCCAACGAGGCAACCGAGCTAAGAAGCGAGGTTGCCTCGGCGGCACATTTATAGTCCCGCACGATGTAGGCAAAAACTCTCAAATTCTGCGTAACCCTCTAAAATTTGCATTTTTGACCATATTTGGGTGTAAGTAAGACCCTATATTTGCGTAGTGACGTCATGGTCTTGTATTTACTTTTCGTGTTCCGAAATTGGGTGATTCAGTGGGCAGCTGTTCGTTGTCTGTTCAAGAGGACCTAATAGGTGAGCAAGCTCTAATACGATTTCTAGTTTGAAAGGGCAATTAGTGGTCTGGTTTGCTTTATAAATTGTGTTTAAATCAGCAGCTGATCAAGGAATAGGGTTTTACGCTCAAATTTTTGTCAGAACCAGCTTATTCTTTGCAGCTCGATTTACAATGAGGTAGCGCGTTCGCTTCTCGACTCAGAACCAGGGTTTTCCGTGTTGTCTTTTGCTTTGTGAATTGAATTTTGCGGTAGTTGATCAAGGTATAGGGTTATATTCTCAAAACTTAATCAGAACCAGCGTGTTCTTCGCAGATCGATTTAAATTGAGCCAGTCCTCAACGTATTTGCAGACCTTTTTTAGAATTTATTCATGCCTTTAGATTTTGTCAACCAGCATGTTTTTTTGATTTACATTGAGACAGCCCAAAACTCCCATGAGGAATGCAACGAATTTGCGAACCTTTTGTTTTAAAGACTATCATTATGCCTTTCAAGAGAACCTTTGACCTGTGACACTCGCTCATTAGATCTTTGTATTTTATTTAAGTTTATATTTTTATACCTCTGATACATTCCGCCCCATTCTTGCGCTTTTCACATATTTTATTTTACACCAGCTTTTTCTCATGTATATTACCACGCGAAATATTTTTCTTATCCCAGATGACGCTGTTGCTCGGAATTTAATTATTATTTTTAATTTCAGCAGTCAAAGGCCTCATTTGAACTATATTTTTCTTTCTAACGTTTATAGTTTTGATACAATGGAATTTTCCATGAAACACAAGTGCTAACTTACTCATATTTACCAACAAAGCTCACTCTGCAGGGTTACCATCTGAATGTCACAATGCTTTCTACTATCGATTTTTGCTCGTGTCAGTAAAGAGTTTACTGAAAATAGCACGCGATAATCGTAATCGCGTTTGTAACAAGTTTCTCGCTGTATCGACACTGTATGCCAAAACGGCATACGTATTTATATATATGTATATATGTTGCTTCAAGCTATGTTGTTATTGTTTAATAAACGTGACAGCCTAGAGTACGCCAAAGTTGTTGTTTTGAAGTTTGGTGCCATCCTTTTCTATAGCGGAATCCATTCTAAACCTCTAAAATTATGAAAAAAAAAATATCGCGAAGATCTGAATAGGCACATTTCACAAAAGATAAACGAATTCGCCTCGTTGGCACTTGCCGGAAGGTACCCCTAGTAACGCCGCGCAATGTAGGCAAAAACTCTCAAATTCTGCGTAACCCTCTAAAATTTGCATTTTTGACCATATCTGGGTGTAAGTAAGACCCCATATTTAAGTAGTGACGTCATGGTCTTGTATTTACAACTCGTGGTCCGAAATTGCGTGATTCAGTGGGCAGTTGTTCCTTGTCTGTTCAAGAGGACCTAACTGGTGAGCAAGCTTTAATACGATTTCTAGTTTGGAAGGGCAATTAGTGGTCTGGTTTGCTTCATAAATTGTGTTTAAAGCAGCAGCTGATCAAGGAGTAGGGTTTTACGCTCAAATTTTTGTCAGAACTAGCTTGTTCTTTGCAGCTCGATTTACATTGAGGTAGCGTGTTCGCTTCTCGACTCAGAACCAGGGTTTTCAGTGTTCTCTTTTGCTTTGAGAATTGCATTTTAAGCGGTAGTTGATCAAGCCATGGGGTTATATTCTCAAAACTTATATCAGAACCAGCGTGTTCTTCGCAGGTCGATTTACATTGAGCCAGTCCTCACCTTCCGTGAGGGATGCAACGTATTTGCGGACCATTTTTTTTAGAATCCATTTATGTCTTTCGAGTGATTTTGTCAACCAGCATGTTTTTTGCTGCTCGATTTACGTTGAGACAGCCCAAAACTCCCGTGAGGAATGCAACGAATTTGCGGACCTTTTGTTTTTCAGACAATCATTATGCCTTTCAAGAGACTCTTTGTCAACTCTTTGTCCTGTGACACTCGCTCATTAGATCCTTGCGTTTTATTCAAGTTTATATTTTTATACCTCTAATACATTCCGCCCCATTCTTGCGCGCTTTTCACACATTTTACTTTACACCTTATTTTGTCTTATGTATATTACCACGCGAAATATTTTTCTTATCCCTGATGACGCTGTTGCTCGGAATTTAATTATTATTTTTAATTTCAGCAGTCAAAGGCCTCATTTGAACTATATTTTTCTTTCTAACGTTTATAGCTTTGATACAATGGAATTTTCCATGAAACATAAGTGCTAAGTTGCTCCTATTTGCCAGCAAAGCTTCAAGCCATGCTGTTATTGTTCAATAAAAGTGAAAGCCTAGAATGTGCCAAAGTTGTTCTTTTGAAGTTGGGTGCCATCCTTTTCTATAGCGGAATCCATTTTAAACCTCTAAAATTATAAAGAATATATCGCGAAGATCTAAATAGGCACATTCCACAAAAGATAAATTCGCCTCGTTGGCACTTGCCGGAAGGTACCCCTAGTTTTGTAATAAATCGTGAAGCCACAGCAATTTGTAATAACGTTGTAAGTTGTAATTTGCTATACACATTATTACCTGTCAGTCAAAGAATGTGACGTGTCGGTCACGTAAATTATAGACGTCAAGGGGAAAAGACATTACAAACTTGTAAAAACGCTTGTCATGTCTGATTATGAGAGCCCGTTAGTCACACTTGTGAGCTATAGGGCTCACTATTTACACAAAAAAGGCAGCCTTTGCGATCGAAAAGGCTCTTCAGAAGCATTCGATTCAACGATAAAATTTGCGTGTGGGAGAAGGACCTGAAGGACCCGCTACCAGGTATAGGCAACAATAACTGAAAAGACAAAAATTGATAGAAAACAATACATCGCCTTCCAAACGGTATACAGTCAAACCTGTGTACAACTGTCATTCTTGGGAAATGGCAAGGTGACCCCTATATACAGGTCAACTTTGCAGAAAATATAAGGCAACTGAAAATTTTGGGAAGTTGTCAGGTGACCGTAATATGCAGGGTGAACGCTATGTACAAGGCCGTTATATACAGGTTGGACTGTAATAGCCCGAACCATTTAATTGCCTGATGGGCATTTTCTTTTTCCTCGTGCAAATGGCAATTACCCCCGTCTCTTCCTCAAGCTCGTATGAGCAAATTCCCCTTCGTGAAAATCTTTCATTCCATTCAACCCTGGACGCTATTTGTTTTTGCGTTGTTTGTTCGTCGACTGTTTTTAAAAATGAGACTTTTGGTAACTTTTTTCTCTCATGTTCTTATTTGAACCGCAAGTACTACGCATGCATCCTCACTGCGTACCCAATTAGCCAACATGTAAATAACTGATAAAAAATTGGTAATCTAAACACATTTTGAGAGTACCTGTGTTGATAGCAAAAATGCGGCATTAGCTGTTAGTTTATCTCAGTTGCTTCTTTTTGCTTTATCGGGACTCGTAAAGGATTGCCTCTGTTATTACTAAATGAATTTAACTTTCCTTCCTTTCCGAAGAGAGCAACGTACCACAACGTATATGAACTTTTACGGTAAAGTCACTCAAATCAATCGTGCAGGCATTGCCCTGTTTATAATTAGTTCAGACTCGCCAGAATCATATACCCTTTTTAGGACAGAGAGGTCAAAAACCATGATACCTTGTCAAGCGACACATCCCCGGAGGCCATATAAGGGAGTACACCCTCCGGGGGCGTTATTAAACCAAAAAAAATATGTTTTCTGAGTGTGGAAAAGACCATGACTGCGTGCTAAAAACGCTGGATGCCTGCTGTGTCCTGGACCTGCCCGCTTTGTCGGCGCAAAACGTAAAATACGGTGATGCAAGTATACTAGGAGCTAATACTGAGCATTTTAAGTTGTTTTCGGTGCGTACTTCTACGCCGAACACCTTCCAAGCCTTTGAGTTTAGAAAGGTTTTGGTGGATTATAACTCTTGAACCATTCACTGAAATGAAGCTTAATGCTCCGCACTACTTTCCTGTAGAGCTATTTATTAATAAGTGGACAAGACGAGTGGCTCTGGCGTTTGAGACTGTCGATAAAATCCTTAAGTTTGACCATCAAATACCTTAGAGCTACTGAGCAGTACCTTTCTGAGGTAATCAGGTTTTAACCTGTGACCAAAATCCGAAAATGTGATAAATTATTATAAATGAAAGCCAAAAAGAAGCACTTGACTGTGATGTTTTTTGTTATGCTGCACAAGGTGGTTCTTACCCTTGAGTCTGTGGAAAAAAATCATAAAGTGTGACAAGTCAAATGAAAGCTACTGAGCAATACTTTCCTGGTTTTTTCTTCAAATGAATCTGAATATGAAAACAAAAATAAAGGCTACGAAGCCTGACTTTTGAATGGTAGTTAAAAATTCCTGAGATGTGACTTTAAGAATTCAGCTAAAACCATGCACCATTAATGAGTTATTCGGCCTTTAGGGACATTATTTCTGTTCAAAGCTGCGGCTTTAAGCGATTTTCTTCACTAGAGTATTCGAAGATTGACTAAAAGCACTTACCTACATCTCCCAAAATTGGCAGAAGAATTTTTATTACAAGGTATAGATGACGGGTCAAGTTGGGTTATTTATAAAATTGAAACCTCAAAAAAGAAAAGCACTTCAATTATACAGCACCCAATTTGCCTTACTTTGTCACTGGTGAAAACTGATCAGAAATATCTTAGATAACTAACATAAGTCTTGAGATTATCAGTAGTGAAAACCTGTTGCCTGGCAACCATGGAGAACTGACAATTTGCGGAAATAAACTTGAAAGTACTTAACGTTCACTATTAACTCAGTCTAAGCACTGTGACCGGCTATTTCCGGGTAACTTGAGGTAATTACTTTAGGGAAATCGCCGTTTACAAGAGTTCCGTAATTATTGATTTCATACAAAAAAATAGTCATGAAGAATCTGAACGAAATTCGAGAAAAATTAATTTAAACATTGGATGTTTTTGAACCGTCTCTGATTACTAAATGGTTTTTGATTTCTCGCGATAATCCATACTTAACCGGAGTGGTTCACTTTTAAGAGGAACGTAATTTTCAAGTTGCTAAAACAATACTTTTAACGAATTTAATCATAAGGAAAGTGAAAGAAAACCATGGGTGTTATGCATTGAGAAGGGGAATTGTTACTTTGTGGAATGATCGGGTGTAGAATACGATGTTAACATCCATATATATATATTTATATACCTGCTAGTTTGCAAAACAGACTTAAATTCGCCATCAACATTTCTTTTACCTAATTACATCAACAGTGTTCGAAGTTCACGTGACCTCATAACGTCGTAAGGACAAATAGCTCAACAAACACCTGCTTGAACCAAGAGAGAATCGCGAAGGGAAAAAATGTTTATGGAAAGATGGAATTGTTAAGCAATGTAGTATCAGTAAATACTTTTAAAAAAGAGAAAAAAATTGCTAGTTGAAAATATGTGTGAAGCTGAATAATTTATATCAAAGACATTATTGTCTGGCTTGTGGGTTTTAGGAAAATTTATCGCATTTGTTGTTGTATATCGTCTGCCCCTCGTTTTAGATGTTTATTAAATGCTTAAAAGTACTCTGGATTAAGCAGAAAATCTTACTCATGATTTAAATAAAACACAATCTTGCCTTTGAGATTGGTCATTAATTACTAAATTCTTTAAAACAAAAAGTTGACCTATAGAACTCAAGTTTATAGTTCGGGGCAGAACCATCTAAACGGACGTGAGTTGATAAAAGACCTCGCTTTCATCGATGGTAATGGCTTTCAGATGTACTGTTTGTAGTTAGCTGAAAGATATATTTATTCCTTATCTTTAAAGGAAGCCGATCGTTTTCTGGTCAGTTGATTTCGCGATAAGTCCGGGTTGATTTTTATGGCAAAAATTCCCTGGTATTGTTGCAACGGTTGATTTCGGTGGAAGTTTGTTTTGTGCGATATTTGCGAATTTCGTTCCTTCACCCATTCAAATAAACTTTATATTTTCCTCGTTTATGTTTATCGATAAGCTACAAAGATTACACTGAAGTAAACATCATTATACTTACAAAATTATCCTCCAATCCTCTAAAGTTGACCTCTCTTCATGGTCCGTTTAACCTGATTCTGGGCCCACAAAGTTGACAAATCTTACGCCACAATGCCCTGCGAATCGTCTTTACTAGAACCTAAACTAGCGCACTCATTATCCAGATTGATATAACCTTCATCTTTTTCCCTGTTCGTTAATTTATAACCTTACTTCGAGAAAGATAAATTGCCCAGTCAGACTTTCAGAGAAAAAACCACCGTTAAATTAAAAATTACCGCACATTTACATGCACTGAATATAAGAGACGGTGATGAGAACAGAATAATTCGCAGTCTTTTGTGAGTCTTGCTCGTTTTCCCCATTGTGTGTACTGCATGTGTTAACACCTCAAAACATTTAAGTACAATAATGTATAATGACATAACACTGGTACTTCTGTTTTGTTTCTTAAACTTAATGGCACGCAAAGAAGAAGGCCAATTATAGACAGGTGCTATCTTACATCGATCAACAGCCCCAAATCACGGAACTACTCTTCAGATGGATTTCTACTGTCGCGGAATTTTTATGTGCGTACGCACTTAAAGTTTACGTCGGCAAATAGAATAGAGGCAATGTATGAATTAAAATTGAACGAGGTTCAATTTTTACGTTTACGGGCGGCCTTTCAAACCGATTGCCTCTAAGGCTGCGTGCAAACGGGCACAACAACTCCCAATATTGTTGCGCCAACAATGTTGGGAGTTGTTGCGTGCGTGTTGGCAGTGCTGTACAAACGGATGCAACAACTCCCAACAAGTTTGGGAACTGCAGTGCATCGTGGGAAGAATACAACCCATAAGTCTTTGTAATCCATGCGTAATGAGCGTGCTTGTCCCCTACAATGTTGGAAGAACCGTGCAAACGGATCCAATATTGTTGTACTAGGCTTCGGCGATCACAGAATAAAAGAAATGTTGGGAGTTGTTGGCTGAAAAGTTTGACCGGTTTCAAACTGCGCGCAACAACACGCAACAGGGTGTGCCAACGGACGCAACATGTAACGTCCAACAATATTGGGAGTTGTTAATGATATATGAAATAAATCATATATGAGCTGCGGAAATGAAATGAAAATGAAGAAACGATCGTTGCAGTGAACGCAATTTATGTAATTACGTGAAGAAGCCTGAAAAAAATTCAGGACTTCAACGGGGTCTGAACCCGTGACCTCGCGATACCGGTGCGATTCTCTACCAACTGAGCTGTGAAGCCACTGACGTTGGGAGCAGGTCAATTGTGGGTTCATATGTTCCCGTGAAAGACATGAGTGTTAATGATGTATGAAATAAATCATATATGAACTGCGGAAATGAAATGAAAATAAAGAAATGATCGTCGCAGTGAACGCAATTTATGCAATTGCAACTCCCAATTGTTGGGAGTTGTTGGCCAACAATGTTGCGTCCGTTTGCGCGGGGCTTAACGCACCTAAAATTAGTGGAAATCCACCTTTAACCTGGCTTGCCATACTGTCGGTGAAATGAATCAAATTCTTCCTTCGTTTAAATAGAAAAGCCATAAATAACTTCAACTCCTCACTGTCTCCTTTCTCTGCTTTCGGCTTTCTTTCCTAGGTGAATAACGAGGAATTTATAAACTCGTGAAAACGCCAGTCATCATTTCTTTTGTTTAATTTCAAAAAGCTGGGCAACTAAAAATTAGCCAAGTAAAAAATTCAATGATTTGACTACTACCACCAAAAAAACAAATTGGCGCGTTGGAAGAGGGTTTTACTTCAGATGATTGCAAAGTAAGTCAGAAAATCTCTTAACCTGTTTTGTTTATCCTGCAAATATTGGTTTTCAGTGGACCATACTTTTTGCCCAATAAAATCCAAATTACCATACTGTCTTTTTATTTCATTTTGTTCTGCTTTCAGTGAAGATGCTTTCCGTTGTACTTTTTATTAGCCATTAAGTTATTTTAAGATACTCGCCCTACACCAGGCAAAAAGCGAGAAAATTTGCTATTAAGAAAGGTTTTCGCCCCAGTAATGACAGAGAGATTTAGAATCAGGTTTACGGCAAACAGTAAACGTAAGATTGACATTGACAATTTCTCAAGTTAGGAAATGACTATGAGAGTAACAGTTGTTAGCTTCGCACTAGAGCTCTCAAGTATAATCTAAGTGTACCTTTGAGTGTGAAGGGGTAAAATATACCTACTTCAACGTTACTTGGTGACCACGGAAACGTCCGTAGTTCAAAGAAGCCGAAGCTCGTCGCCAAGTATGGTCTACACTACACTTGACCAATGGGAATGAAGCCATGTGCACGTGCAGTGGTTCCAACCTGTCTTGGTTAGCTAAGAGGGTTTTGTGGAAGAGGCCAAGCCCAAGTTGTTAAAGGATTTCTTTGCCAAAAAGCGCATTGTTCAGCCACTCTAGTGAAACACTAAGGAAGACTTCGCTTGTTTTTTGTTTGTTTGTTTTTATTTTCTGCCGCTCCTAAGTACTCGTAAAAAACGAAGCGCATAAGCACCTCTTTTACTGTTAAAACCCTTTGAGTTAAAAGAAACGAAAAAATGAATACGAAACTACAAAAAGCTCTTTTCCAGCTCAAAGGCCCCGTAGTTTTAGCTTTTGTCGCGAGCAATGACGTTACTTTGTGATATGCATATTAAATAATTTAACTACGAAAGATGATTGACAGCTTGTACCTCAATTTATATACTTCTTCAACAAGTGTGAAGCCATGTTTTCTATAGAGTGACTTAAGATTTTCAATTGCACTTGTATCAATTCAAGTACCTACTTGAAACTAACTAAGTTAGCTTCTAGTGTGAAGCCAAGTACTGTGCAAGACAGTCCTTACGGATCAAGGGCGTAGCGTGACCATTTTGACATATACGCACACGGGTCCATATGGTCTCAAAAACTTCATATAAAATAAAGTTTTTGCCCCCGCCCCCCCTTGGGGGAGGGGGGTTGCTTTCCTTTAATACATATTTCGGCAGTTTACAGGGTTGTTTACAATATGACGTGACATTGAAAAGGCTTTTAAAACGTTCTTCTTTGAGCTGGTACTAGAATGGTTACAAGCATAAGGCGAGGCGCCTTCGCTAAATAAACTTCCAAAGCACTGAATAATTCACACGAAATTCAAAACCTGTTTCAGGTCGTTTCAAATAAGATGTTTCCTTCAAATTCTAAACGAAAATTTAGCAAAACATTTCATGTTAAGAATAAAAGATTAGCTCTACTGTCGCTTTTATTTTTCGCCTGTCACTTAAGAAAAATGTTCACTTAAAGTGTAGAAATTTGGAGTTTAAATGCATCGGTTGAAAGCCTTGCGACGTGTGCGTGGCTGTGTATATTTTCCGCATGGTCTGGTCCATGATAATCCAGTTGAGCGACATTAAAGTAGTCTTAATTGTTAGACTTTTTCGACATTTATAGGGAGAGAGGAAATTTAAAAAATCAATAGCTTTTGAATGGAAAAACTTTCCAGATAAATCTTGAAAGGAATTATAATCAGTCAGAGTCGATTCTTTGTGGCGACAAATGTGTTTGCATGAATTTCCCCAGTCCCCCTTCGTTTTTCATGAAAACGTAATGTACTGTGAATTCAATTTATCACATTCCACTTCTCAAACTGTTGTTTTTTTGGGGGTGTAAAAATGATGGGGAATAACCGCGATACATATACAGACAGGAACAAATTTGCACAATACCAGGTTAAGTCAAGACACTATAAATGGCTTTTACTTATAACAGAAAAGTTTTAAAAAAAACCCTACCAATTTCTCAAGTACGCACTTGCGTATTTGCGTAAAGGACGCTACGCCCCCTGCGGATGAACCGGACATGAAACTAAATCGGTGATCCAGAAACTCTCTAAATAAATATGGTTCGCGATAAATTCGCGAGCATGAGCCGACAGCAGCCACGACAGCGAGGCGTGAAACGCGGATTCGCCAAGGGAAAGAAAAGACATCACGGGGGCTTTTTCCAACAGTGAGCACGGTTTACTGCACCTTACAGGCCTGTCGAGCCAAGGCAGGTTGCTAGAATTTAAAAGAAAAAAAATACATGTAACACCATCGAAAACTTGGTGAATTTGCAACTGTTTCAAATTTCTTTCGCCCGACCAACTGCTTTCGAATTTTTAATTCAAGCCCACGTACTGGACGGATCATCTCCTTTCCGTTTCCTTATATCACTTTCGAATATTACTTTTATGTCTCAAGTGCCAATAATACTGTCTCACCTGATAGTGATACGTCTCACGCAATTCACACCTCCTGAGCTCATTCGCCTTTATATACAAATCAAAATGTTTATTGCGATGAACGTCCTGCTATTACCAGTCATCAAATATTTTTTGAAATAATATTAATTGTTATGTGTTCTGCTATTTTTGTGACGAGTCTAATGAGTTTTCGACGGTGTAATATAGAACCAATCAAAATCCAAGAATATTTTGGTACTTTTTAAGAGTCTTGCAATTTGAAAGATTTTACAGGCAAAATGCAACCTTTCAAATCACCTACTCCCCTACCAAAAACAGCTCATAATCTATTGGATTTTCGATTTTGATTGGTTACAGTAAAATCCAGGTTAATAAGCCCTGGGCAGTAGCCTTTAGCAGCGCCTCGAAACGAGCTGATAACGATAATTGCATGGCAATAAAAATGGAAGCTTTTAACATGAACTGATTCCGGCCGAACAACACAAAACAGGAAAAAAAGATGTTGGAAACCAGAAGCATAGCGTTATATGCTCCTGTGGAAACTGAATAAGAGCATTTTAGTGTCCTCGTCCTCTAAAAGACTTTGACGAGTCGCCATTTCGATGTGGGACTGGGATTCGATTACTTCTTTTGCCTGTGATTCAAATCTTAACCATTAAGCAAGCAGAGGATTGACCGACAGAATTAAGCAAGGCAACAACGATTTATTATCGTTTTCGTATATATCGCCACCTTCGGACCACATCTGCCTCGTGTTGCGCCGACAACCGAGAGCGCAGGGCCTTATGGGAAGGACCATGATCTCGCACGCCTTGTACAAGCAAAGAGGGAGGTCTGGAACGAGGCAGGAGTTAAGTGATGATAAATATCAACAAATCCGATCATTTCGAGATAAGTCTACTTTTGCATAAACATCTGAAAAGCATTAATTTGAGCATTATCTAAGCTATTTATAGTTTGTAAACAAATTCGACATCCGTTTGTGTTAATTTTAATGGATTGCCATCGCTTTGATTCTCTCCGTGTTTAACCGTTTTAAGGTTCTAACAGGGCACCATAGCCTTCCATCATGGAAGGTTGTTTAAGGATAACATGTCCAAATGTAGATCTTGAAATTGATGTCATCACGCATACAAACCTTTAAAATTCCCCTCTTGTGACTTCCGTGAGCAATCATTCTTAAAATTAGCATAAACTTAAGATTTACCACGCAGTAAATTTGAAGGGACGTAAATGCCTCTTTGGTCGTGATCAACCCTACATATATGCCTTAGCAACTGTTATAAATGACTGCGTTGGTGTAAACAAAAACTCTGAGACGCGACTGGATGCATGCGCCGAAATCAGATCTTTACTTAAACATCTGTATTTTATCATGGCAGCTGTATAGTCCGATGAATAGTTAGAAGCACTTAGGCCCAGATTACACACGCCAGGTAAGGCTATTCTTTCAGTAGCTTTATCTTTACGTTTAGACCCAAATCGCTTACAAATACGGCCTTTCAATGTCCGCGATGTCCGTGCAAAATCTATGATGGAGTATCATTCAAGTCACGAAACTACCGGAATATCTATTTTCTTTAAAAAAAAATGGGGGCCCAGCTCACATCCTACAGTCTATGCTCACACTTTACCGTAAGCTTTTGCGCCGGCACGAAAATCATACTCGCAGATAGGGTTTCTGCTCACACATAAGAACGGTAATTTCGGTGCGATTTCTGTGATAGAGCGAAGCTGTAGAAGCTGCGCCACGCCGATCTGAAAGGTGTTCAGCCTTAATTTCTGTTTGCACTCTGTCTTTTATGTGTCGCGGACCCTATTTTTAGCCAGAATATTGATTTCGTGAAGAGGGAAGTCTTAGTTAGCAATATGGCAAAATGGAATTTTAATACATAAAACTTTTAAAAGGTGAAATATTATTTTAATGCATAACTGGTTTGTGTCACTTGATTGAAACTTCCAACAACTGTTTTTTTGAAGTGCGCTTTTATTGACAAGTGTCCATGCATAAATTAAAGTAAACGTGCACGCAAAGATTGGCCCCTTCATTATAACGCATTACAATAATTGCAATTCTCGAAAGTGCATAAACGTCTAGAGTGAAAATTTCAGTTGAGCTATTGCGTAATGGACAGGACGGACTTATAGACGGTAAGTGTCGTTCCAGAACGATCATTCGTCTTTATAACCTTTTTTTCTCCCAAACCCTTTTAAACGTCTGATGAATGAAATTAAATATTTTCCGGTTTTTATTCTTTTAGCACGGCAGGTACATCAATTATTTTCAGAGAAAAATTGGAAAATGCGAACAGACCTGGCTGTGAATTAAGAATATACAACGATTTACGTAGAACAACGTGCATGAATTTTACGTCGAATTGGATAGTCCATACTACGTACGTCAGGACGGATAGTCCATATTACGTCAGGCCTTCTGTTCCAAAACGGCTAGACGTCAAAATTCCAAATTCCTCGATAAACAAAAAGTACAATGCGAACTAACTGAAGCAGATCTTTTTTGTGTGGTTTCATTACATTTCTTATTCGTCCATTAAGATTTAAACGTTAAAATCACTTTAAAATGTCTTGAATATTTATGGGTTGAAGTAGTGAAATATAGTTGTCTTCGACTACATTAACCACGGACCGATTCGAGTAAATTTATATTCGAGTAAAATCGTGTTAATTGTTTGGTCTTTTTAGGCCACATAATTAAGGCATTTCTAGTTTCATTTGATAAGACTGATAAATTTTCTGCAACGTCACGGCAAGTAACGGCCCCTCGATTTAGTGCCCCTTTGACTGTTTTCACATCACTGATACCGTGTGCTTTATAGAATCACGTACCAAATTATGTTTGTGCAACTGAATATTAAAAGTAAGAGAAAGAAATGAGGATTTATTAACAAATCGCCAGCTGCTACGAAATCAGAAACGCTCAAAAAAGCTTTTACCACGCAATCTTCAAAAGAATATGTTATAGATCGCCATTAAGGTTATGTAATTGCCGCACTTATTGGTAGAGGTTCGTCGCGAATAAGCCTACGAACTGTCGAAAAGTTTTACCGATTACGTCGATGTGAAATTCATAATCTAGTCTTTCGCTTGACAGTTTTCTTTGTTTCAATCATTAAATACAAAATGAAAACAGCCGTATTTGTTTTAATATATCCTTTCTATGTGTGTGTCACTTAACAGTTCACTTTTCAGACTTTTACTGAAATTGAAGTTTTGCATCTGCTCAAAAAGATGTCAGCGATACACTGAATCTAAATGACAAAACAAGCATTTCTTACATGTTTTAAAATACAGTCGCCCTTCGCAGCACAGAGTTAAACAACATAAAGCGATTGATTTTTTCTTAATAATGAGCCCTTGTTCTCATCTTTCGATGGCATAATGACTGGCTAAAATGACTCTATGGCTAGATCTACTAATTTGCGAGACGCCTTCCGGCGATTTTAATGAGATGAAAATCGCAAATTTATAAAAACGGAAGATTTACTCGACTTTGTTTACTCGAGCCAGAAAAGAGTAAGGTTGCATAGAAATGGTTTTCTCTTTTTCTGACAATTTGATGTTGGCTTTAGAGGGAGTTCTTATCAATGTAATATCCATCGATTGTGTTTTAAGCCAATAGGATCCTGTTTCTCATAACACATGCAAGATATTTCCTATATCACCCCGATTACACAAACAATTTGCTATACCTCCAACACGAACAGTCGTTGCCTTGGTCTCTAGAGCTTACTCGAGAAAAATTAAAGTTAAATTCAGGCGCAACAATCGTCCGAGACCTTTTAACGTTTGGCAACTAGTGTCAAGCACGAAACCGGACGGTCAAATATTTTTGCAGGTACGTTTTAAAGAATTTCTAAGGCTTGTGTACCTGGCTTAAGTGTTAGGATAGTAAGATTAATCTTGCTCCAACATGCGATCTTTCTGAGATGTTTACTTTTGCTGATTTTCATTTTTATAGTAGAGATGACTGACATCGACGAGTTGGAGAAGTCACTTAGGCAGTGTAAAGAAATACACGCACGCTTTAACTTTACCGCGCTGAAACAACTCCACATCAATGACACAGGTCCTGTGATACAAGCCCTCTTCGATAACTTCTCGGAATGTATACAAGCAAGAGAGACCCCTCCTCCAACGCAAGCTACGTATACACAGTCAACAACTCAGTTTCGTTGGTATAATTCAGCCGCCCTCTCGGCCTACTTCGTTATAATTGCCGTCGTTGGATTGACAATAAATTTAGGGGTGATTGGTACAATATGTCGTGTCAGAAGATTGTGGACTATCACTAACGCCTTTGTGTTGAGCTTAGCTATGGCCGACTTTTTCATGGCAAGTGTTTTAGTGCCGCTGGAAATAAAGTATATATACTCAGAGGATGAAGTATCGCGGGCGAAAGACACGCTGATTACTCTGTTAGGCGTTGCATCGCTTTTAAACCTCACCGCCGTCACACTGGAACGTTTTATTTCAATTTGCTACCCGTTAACGTCCGACACATATCTGACTCGCATTCGCGCCACGATTATTATTGCGACCATATGGCTTCTGTCCTTTTTTCAGGCGTTTTTAAACTGGGCGTTCATAGGAAAATCGCATTTCCAACGAACTCTGTACGAAGATCTCCGCTTTGCCCTTGCGTTTTGCTTGCCTTGTGTTTGCATCTTGATTGTGAACATTAAACTTTTTTGCGTGGCTCGAGTTCACGCGCATCACATCCACGCAGCCAATCCACAAGGTTCACGAGGCGCAAACCGCGCGTTCATTAAGAAGATGAAAACCGCCAAAATCATCGCGCTTCTTGTAGGAACGTTCATGGTGACATGGCTACCCTACTTTTCTTTGACAGTTTATGACCACCATCACCCGAACAGCGTACTCGTGAACAGAGCTTTGGATGTCACTGAAGCCACGGTGTGTGCCACGGCGTTGCTAAATCCTCTTCTATACGGCTTACTTCGACGAGACGTGCGAGAAGCGATGTTTAGAGGAATCACGTGCCAGAATGTGAACCAGACTGAGATTCACAGTTTTTCAAACAGTTTTCGCACAGAGCACAACACTTGCCAAACTACAATAAAGGCACGAGCCTGAGAAACTATACCTTCGCTGTTCCTACACCCCGTTCAGAGAAACGCTGTGAAGCGTATATAAATGCAACCTAGTTTAACTCAAAGGAACATTCAAGATGGGAATTCGTCTGTTTGGGACAGTTGGTATTAGCTATCTTAATAACGTGAAGTAAGTGTACCCTTCATGCCACAATGGCATGCGGCTTCGCTTCTTTGAACTTGATGTGAAAAGAACCTAAAACATGCATGATGATTAAGCGAACATTTGAAACTTTTTCAAGCTATATGCGGCGCTGGTAATCGTCGTGATCATTAGTATTTATTTCAAAAAATGTGCGATACAGTTAGAATCTCGATAACTGGGACTCGGAAAACTCGAATACTCGGCTAACTCGAACTATATTTTCTTTCAATTGATCAAAACTTTCAGTGAAATTTACCCCGATATATGGAATTTTCCGCTAACTCGAACTGTTTTTCGTTTCCCTTCAGAGTTCGAGTTACCGGGGTTCTACTGTAGTTACAAATGTATAATCTCGTAGGCAACTCGAACTATTCGAGGTGGGAGTTGGTGATAGAATTAAATTAGGACAAAATAACAAAGGGAAAAATTATTTGTTCTTTTAAACACGGTTTTAAAGAATTGTAAATACAGAACTTAAAAACATTTACATCACAATGCAATTGTATCGTACAGGGAACGAAGCTTGTATTAAGAAATTACGGAATGAAGCGAGGGCCTCTTTGACTAATGAAATATGCTTGTAATACCCCTCCTATGACCCTGCCAAAATAGCCAGTTTTTGGTTTGAGTTACACGGCTCGATGCGTGCGTGTCGCCGGATTATAACCTCATCATTTGCAACAAAAATCGACCTGAATGGTGACAGGGTGATCCGCCTGCAGCGAGCACGACTGTCTGTAAAATTAAAATCATTGTCGGTCGAGTCGAAGGTGACAAAGCTGTATTGCAAGCATAACTTTCAAGATATTTTAATCAAACTTTGCATTGAGTTAGTGTATTGATTTGTTTTGAAATTCAGTGCGAATCTTTGAATTCATGCTAAAAATTCTTCGTCATCTCAAGCGTAATGGTTCCGGCAAATAAAGACGTTTTTAACATTTCTTTTCTGTAATGGCTTGTTTTCGTTATGATGATTCCGAGTCCGGAAGTCCGAGATTATAACTCTGCTATATGTAATTATTTTCCTTAGTGAAAAACAAAATATTTCAAGTAATTATTGCAAAAAGAAGAGTTAAATCACAAAATAATTAGAAACTAAAATTTCAGACTTTACTGGCAGAGGTAGATTTGTCTGAGTTACATATTATTATAGATTTGTGATAAATTCGCTGAAGCAGACTTTTTAAATTGTTTTTGAAGTATTCTGTTAACACCTTGGAACACTACATGGAATAAGACCATTCAGACAGTATATTCAATGAAGATGAAATCAAATGATAGTGGATTAAATCAAGAGACTGTGGTTTTCTTTTTAGCAAAACCGAGGAAAATGCTTTTTGGAAACCTATTTAATAGAAAGAATAAGAGGTGCATTAATCAGTCGCACCTGGTTTCAGAATTCTAATCGAGGCATAACAGTATTGTGCTGTTTCTTGCGGAAAGAATGCTGAGTGAAGTCTCGATTTTTCCATAGAGCCTCCTGAGGAGAATTAGCTTGTGTGGATACTATTATTATACTGTTTGGCTGACTGGTGAAACCTGGCGGAGGTTTTGGGAAAATCGAATTCTATTGTATTTAATGTTAAGCAGATGTGATGCGCTTCAAAATATTATAAATTACACTATTTCCATAATTAAGAATATAAAAGTTTTTTTTCTTTACTTTCCAAATAAAAATACTTTTCGATCCATTTATCCAGATGGTATGAAATTCTGGAGCAGACAAAGGGACTTTCTTACTGGGGTTATTTAAATTGTCTTTATTTCTTATTCAAGCTAAAATGTCTTAAACTAGAAACCATTAATGTACAGAAAAAAATCCATCAAAACACAGTCATGTATTAACAAGGCCATTCACGACTCTTGATGGACCATTCAAGATGGGAATTCGTCTGTTTGGGACAGTTGCTATTAGCTATCTTAATAATGTGAAGTAAGGTTACACTTCATGCCACAATGGCATGCGGCTTCGCTTCTTTGATCTTGATGTGAAAAGAACCTAAAACATGCATGATGATTAAGCGAACATTTGAAACTTTTTCAAGCTATATGCGGCGCTGGTAATCGTCGTAATCATTAGTATTTATTTCAAAAAATGTGAGATACAGTTAGAATCTCGATAACTGGGACTCGGAAAACTCGAATACTCCGCTAACTCGAACTATATTTTCTTTCATTTGATCAAAACGTTCAGTGAAATTTACCCCGATATATCGAATTTTCCGCTAACTCGAACACAGTCATGTATTAACAAGGCCATTCACGACTCTTGATGGCTTATAAAATGCGAACAAAGTCGTGATAAAAGCTCGTTTGAGTTGACATTAACGGGTAACGAGGTGTTTATTTGATTTTCAAGACTTCCTCGGTCCATGGGCCATTAATTTGAACTTTTCTACGTCATTTGATAGATGGTAAGAAACAGGATGACTGTGTGATATGATTGGACCCACCTTTTCGTGGCTCCCTCATAAAAAGGTGAACAGGTGCTTAAGCTCCGTGCAAATTTAAGCATATGATGTCACCTTCATTTTAGCATTAAACGTTAACCTGCAAAACTTCATAAGAACCAAAAGAAATGATTTAAGACTGAAAAATCACATGTCTTTGTTGAAAATTAATGAGAATCAAATGATTCAACGAGAAATAAAATAACGCAGAATAGGTTTTGTTTAAATGGTCACATGGAAGCTTGAAGTGAAAGCCAAATTAGAAATTATTCCCACATCAACAACAAGCCCAAACTTATTAATTTTCTTATTTGTCATTTTACCTATATCTAGCCATTAAAAGTGAACAAAAACGTCAGATGGACAGTTTCTAATCATGTTTTCATTGCTAAGAAAAGGCAACTACAATCATCGTTAAAATGGTAGGGACAGGTCTCACATTTTGCACTGTCATCGTGAACACGAGTCTATTCAATATTTCCTGTCCCCCTTACAATATTGTCTGTTCGGTCTGAATGTAGTTTCGCTGTCGGTCAACATTGAAGTGGGGAAGGAGAGGCTGATTTGGACCATTTCTGCGAAGATGGCGGCCAAAAATTAACTTTAGACGTTGTTGAGTTCTCTTTCAAATGAGCGTTTTTGGAACGTTTCAAAGATTTATGTCGATGTTGTAGCTTTAAAGTCGTTTCAAGTTTTGACCCTGTGTCGCATAATTGTCGAGAAATGTTGAAAATAAAATAAAAACCGTTTGCAAATTTAGGCAGGCGCACATGGCAATTGTGCACGTTTGCAGCAAAAAGGTGGCTACATTTTTAGCTATCACTATACTTTTCAGGAATTAACAAAATGTAGTCATATAATATATAGTATTATAAGATTACTCTTTAAACCAACTAAATGGGTAATAAAACCGCAAAGTTTTAATTGTCCTTTACATTTCCCTATTTGCCTGAAATATAACGCCCACACGGCACGTTCCTCAGTCTAAGCTGACTTACAAAAGATGTCATTTCGTCTTCGTAATTTGATATGACCATTAATCACATCAAAATAATGAAATAATAGTTATAGATTACGCAAACGCAAATTAGTGGCAATTTTTCTAGTTAACTTTTGCGGGGGATGGCACGTTTTTCAACTTGAAAATGAAAAAAAATAAAATGAAATAAGGGTGAAATGGCGAGATCTACCTATACACATATGCCAAGGAAAGTGCAAGTTAGCTTAACATTCTAAAATGCCAGATTTAACTATATATAATATGAAAGTTTATGTAGATAAACTTGAAATGTTCAGTTAAACGTTTGATAATTGTTAAAACTTGGCAAAAACACAGATAATTTTCCTCTGTTTTAATAATCCCTTCTCTCCAAGAAACAATAAAAAGTGATTTCAAACTTAAGCCTTAATTATTAATAGCTGAAGAAAACAGCACCTCTGACATTTTTTTAAAATAGAGCCTCAGCTTGTTTAAACACTGCAAAACATGTTTTCTTTAAAAGGGTATATATGATGTTTTTATTGCACACAAATATTTGATTAAAGCCAAGATTAATATTTAAGGAAAATATTTGGAGAGTTTCTTCCGTTTAAGTCCATCAATCTCTAGGAGACTAATGATCTTTAAAAATATATGTCTTTGTTGCGGTAAAATAAAGAGGTTACCGATTGCTTTTCCAGTTTTAACGGCATCGGGATACGTTCAGTATTATCATCTCTAATTACGTTTTAACCCTGTCTAGTAGTTTTCCTTTGCCTTAAAATTGTTATTGATATGTCATTAAAATTATCTTTTCATCTTTGTGTTTGGAGTTTGCTCGGGCGGTTAAAGACAGAATCAGTCATAAATGGGCGAGAAAGAACTGAACACTACATTCACTGGTAGTCTTTACACTAGAGCCTAGTATATATTTCAAGATAAGTTAATTTTGAATACTTCAAGTAAAATAAAGCTTCAATTTCCCACGCAATATAATAAATATTGATTAACATGCTTCGCCTTTCTCAAAGCTCAAGAAACCGCCAGTTAGCAAAGTCCGTTTTAAGGATGGTTTTCAAGTAACTTGAAACTTGTCTTGTCTGAGTCGTTTCAACTTTTCGACATTAATGAGATGCAAAGTAAAATAACCTGAGAATTTACTCAGTTAGGCCTAGCTTCATACACGTATTTTTGGTTAAGTAAAACTTAGCAGCTCTTAAGTCTTACTTAACAGCCGATTGTAAAGACTACCGTATCCTGCACACAGGCGCTTTATGCTTTATGAGCCAAGCGAGGCAAACGCGGAATTACGCACGAAGCGCGAGACGAGCGCCCAACGCGAGGCGAGGGGAGGAGAAAAAAGCTTTCCGCGCTTCGCCCTCGTCCCGCGCGCCTAGCGCAGAATACCGCGTTCGCCTCTCTTGGCTCACAAAGTGCTTGTTATGCAGGCTAAGACTACCATTGTAGCACGGACAAAAGTCGATTTGATTAGCTTGCGGTCACTGTGAGACAAAACCATTCCGAACGTTAGGGTTACAATTCGGGTGGCGTTGTACTTTCTTTACAGTCAGGGATTCAAATAAAACATGCGTTTATCACTTCTTTTAAGGTGATCCTTAATTTGAGCCTGTCGATAAAACCCTACAGTGTAACCATTCAAGTGAAAGCCACTGAGCAGTACTTTCTTGTGTTGCTGTTTATTATGCTGTAACTTTTAAGTCTGTGAATGAGATCCGAAGTTTGATCGTTTTATAAATTAAAGCTACTGAGCAACACTTTTCTATGGTGTGGCTTATTGTGCTATACAAGGTGCTAAGTGTAATTTAATCAAAACAAACCTTTGGTCAAAGAGAAAAGCCAATATTTTTAAAGCGGTTTTTATTAAACTGAATGTAGTTCTGCTTGTTGCTTGGATGACACACGTAGACATACATGAAGCCACAGTTTAAACCAGTTTTATTAGCATGGTTAGGAAAGGTTATGACGTCAGTTGAAATAAAAGGCTAAGAAAACACACTGCATGAAAATAGAGAAGCCATCCTCGATAAAGTGGCTTTTATTTTTTTATTTCAGTTCTTGTTGCTCAGGTAACGCATTTACAAGGATCCTCCATCTCTCCTATAAGGCCAGGGTCACAACGTAATAGACTTCCAGGCTATTTATGGATTCATCCTCGGCGCTGAGCAAACCCTGAGCCAATCAGAGAAGTTTAGGTTTGAAATCTTGGCAATGACGGTTAACGAAGAGTCAAGCGACGATAGTTTAACTCATTCGTCACTAAAAGGCCATCCAGTTACATCTTCGAGTTCAATCAACAGAATCTAGCAATGAAAGCAATTTCAGCAGTAAAGAACAAAAGAATATTTTGGCAGGGAAAGAAGCCAAAATATTCTAACGCTCTTTGAGACTTCGACAATTTTTGGTATGAGATGGGTTTCGGGGTGACAGTGCCCTGAGATTGTTAATAACACATTTTATGTACACTCAAAAGTTTTGTTATAATTTTATCTTATGTTAATTTTTGTTCTTTGCTTTTATCAAAATGACAAGGATTGAATTACAAAGGCACTACAAGCCTTATTATACCGAGGCGACCTTTGCCTGTGTGAATAAATTAATGTTAAGAGCTATCTTTTAGTTTGTTCCTCTTCTTTTTGTCTCCAGAGGGAACATTATTAAAGCAAAGAATGCCACCAGTTTTCTCTTTAACTCAACTTACTTTAAAATATTAACGATTTTCTGAATTGATTTTTTTTTGCATAACTTAGGATAAAAAACTCCTTATTACGATGCTCAAATTTAATCTATAGAAATATTGAATGAGATATGTATTGAACCTATTCGGGTTTTCAAAGAGCGAGTATAGAAATGAGTGTTAATTTTAATTTTTCAGTCTGCTGACCCCTTAAAAGAGGGTGTGAATGGGGTTAACCGACTAGCGACAAAGGGCAAAAAATATTACCGACTACCGACAAAACGCGAAAAAAATTACCGACTACCGACAGGAAAATTATTAACCGACTACCGACGCGACATGGACCGACATTACCTATATGTTTTTCAGAAAGAAGAGTATATTGTATTTTTTCTACCTTTCTAGGAAGTAACCAAAGATACCAAGTCACAAGCTTTTTACAAGTCAATAGCACAAAACGAGGATAT